ATAATAACGCTTGTAGACGGCTTGAATGGGGAATGAAGAAAAACTTTAATATAAGTTTAACATAACAGCAAATGTACAACATTTGGAAAAAGAATTTGATTATGACAAAACGTTCTACATTTGCTGTTATGTTAAACTTATATTAAAGTTTTTCTTCATTACCCATTCAAGCCGTCTACAAGCGTTATTATTTCTAATTTACTAATGAAATATTATCACAAAAAATTTAATATACCAATACTTATTCCTTGAAGCCATTGAAACTTTCTGGTAAAAATTGTTTAACATTAGTTAATAACAATATAAAATCACCCAATGAAATAGGACTTACCTTGTAGTTCTTCTATCTCCAGCCTTAGTTTGTTACATTTTTCTTGTGAAGTTATCCATGATGATGAGGTGTCACTCTCCTTTTCTTCATCTCCATTACGGTAAATGATTGTCAGTGATGCATCGTTTGTCTCTTGATCACTTAAATCTTCCAGCTTTCCCTTCAATACATCAATTTCCCCTATCACAAAAGATATTTATAAATATTTCAGCATTGTTATCATAACTTCTAAGTGGTACATTCAGTTTTTAGATGTGATGACTTGTATCTGTTGTCAGAATAAGGTTTTAAGATATATTACAAATTAAACATGATGATAATTTCACTCATCTCTTGGACTGTAAGAAATATTTGAAGAAATGTGTTAGCCTTTAGAATTAAGACTTTTCCAGCCTATATTTCCACTAAAGATTTTCTTGTCTAAACCTCATATTTTTGCATTTACTTTATTGTTTTGTTTGATAAATATAATCTCATACTGTTATGCCTACACATTGTGGGCAGGACAAAGTGCTGCCAGCAGTTTTAACCTGTGAAATCTCTTTAAGTGAATCTCTTACATGTTTGATGGTGAACCAATCCTCTTCAGTTTCATGATTTTGTACATTACATTAAAATTAGTGATAGAACCAATTTGGAACGTCAGTAAGATGATCAACTACTTATGAATATCTAAGAGATTTTATGAGCTAACAAACTTTTTCTGACAGTTTTGTCTGAAGACAGTAACACTAAATGCTTGAATGTTACCCAAGAACACTTCTGTATGTTTTGCATAATAAAATGTTTGTGTATTTTTTACTTCTTTTTCATTATTCAATTTTTTAATATAATGTAATGTTTTCATATGACTGTTTTAAAAATGTTTATTATTTTGCAGGATTTTATTGTTTTGCACATGCAGCATTTAAAAGCCAGGATTAATAACAAAAGCAACCAAACACAAAACAAACAAAGAATGAAATATGTAGGTTAGACTAAGTGATCAATTAAATTAAGAACACTAAATACATCACAATATACCAACTAAAAGAAAAAGTGCAATACTAACAATTGTTCTATGGAAATATATTCCATATTAGGCTTAACATGATGATATCTGGCAAAAATATAAAACCTTTATTTTCAAACCCATATAATTAACTACTCCAAACATTAATGAGGTAACATTTTAGAGTTCAACAGATAAATAAAAAAATATATTTTGCATAACTCCATCAAGGCTGCAGCGTGAATAAACCATTTCTCTAACAGTGTGTACTTAACCTCCCCACTACAAATACACCGAAATGATCTAATACGTGTGCCTGGCTTCCAATATTCAAGCAACTCTTAAAGTCTCTGATTCCATCAAAAGTAGTTATCTACCTACAACCATCAGGTAATAATAATGTCACACACTTATAAAGAAATAATAACCCAAACTCAAATAATCATGAAACGTCAAAACCTGAAGAAAAACAATATGGATACCGTTCTTCCATAGCAACTAATATGTGCAAAATGGGTTGTAACAGCAATGCAATCTCATAAATGGAAACATGAAATGTGTAAATAACTAATGACATATCAATTTTTGGAAGTGCAGTTAGGGATAATTTCTCAACCCATATTAAATGATTGCCACTTCAGTTATTCAATGTTGTGTACATATTCCTTATATACTTTGCACTAACTCATTGAGAAAACCCTAAAATGTGTTTCAGATGTTGAAGTTTATCAAAATACAGAAAGTCTTGAATTTAAATGTTGAAAAAATCTTACCATGTAATATAAATGAATGTAACAAAAATAAACAAACCTTCATAATACCATACAAAAAATACAAAAGAATTATTACACAGGCCTGCAATGGTTTTGTTGTCTTGAAATTTTTACATGTTCTACAGTAATTCCTGTATGCTGAATCCGAAAAAGATATCCATTTTTCTCCATCATGTACAGATTTTTCACAAAAAGGCATATGTACTTCTACATAAGTGAATCATTTTCATTCAAATCGGGACACATTTTGTTATGCTTAAAATGTTGACAACCAATGGCTATAGATTTTTCTAGACCAACTGCGTCGTAAAAGTCTTACTGATCATTCTAGAACCCACGAGAAACACACTGCTAGTATATAAACGGTTAACAGGCCACATGACGTGTCATTTCTGGATAGTATTTGTTTGTACGTGCACTTTGACATTATTTTTTCTTTTCAATATTATTTATTCATTGCTATGGCAACAAGAGGTTGTGTAAATGATCCAAACATATTCTGTTATATTTGTGATAAATCTGATCTAAGTAAGAGTTTTTTCTTCTTCCCGATTAGTAAAAAATCCTTACATGATAGAAAAAAAAAATGAATATTATTTTCAAAATCACATAGCTGAATTATAGAAAATCAGTTAAGATCAAAACAACTTTTACAAAGTTTTAATTCGCAGGCCTGTGTTATCACTGGTTGAACCTCTACAACAAGATCAAATGGTTTCTAAGCTGACCTAAATTGAAAAGAAGATATGTTTGTTTTAAAAAGTAATGTAAGGAAAACACAAAAGGCTAGAAATATTTTCCTACAGAAGTAGAATGAAAGAAACATTTTCCATAACATATGAAAATTCCTCACCTTTCAACTTCTCAATTGTCAATTGGCTCTTTTGTTTTTCATGTTCAACTTTGTCCAATTTCACTAAAGGTTATATAAAAAGTTATATTTGTATGCATATACATAAAAGAATTGTATCAAAGTGCCATACAATACAGTAGAGTATCAAATTAATTTTAAATAACCAAAGGATATTGCATTTCAGTATACATATAATGATGAAACATCTTAGATGTAAAATATAGCATCAAAACAAAAAAGCCATTAAGAGTTTAAATATTCAGATTTAAATGTTTTCATCCTATGCTGAACTTAGCTCTATTTGTTTTTCTCTCTACAGAGCAGAAGCTTTGCTACGTGCTTAAAAGTTTCAGGGCTTGGGCCTATGGACGTGAGAATTCTTGGTGTTTCAATATGTTATCAATAATAGTTTCCTATTCTGATGTTTCAAGACATCAACTGGGGATTTGGGGCACTGTCAAATAGAATCAAGAATAGGCACTGTCTGCCAGTGCCTAGCAACACCTCTGCTACAGAGTAATAATTAGCCCAGTTTGAAGGACCATCCAAGAAAAAGACAACCAAGTGGTGTTAATTCCACATAAACAACACTTTTTTTGTACTTTCCAATTATTTTTATTTAAATGATCTTCTACTACATTTATTTCACTGAAGTCCACAGCTATTTCATATTTGTAACTTGTTTGTTTGTTTTTTGCACACAGCTACACAAGGGCTATTTGCACTAGCTATCCCTAATTTAGCAGTGTAAG